CTTTTTTCCAAACAGCTAAGGATTGGTCTTAAGAAACATATGAACTATTGGACTAAGTGGGAAAAGCTTCACTAGAAGAAGAGTATAGGCTTGGGACAGGAAAATCAGGTATAATTTCCATCTTTCAGTTCTGTTTTCTCTGCATGTATTTGGCAAGCTCATTTGCTAAAAGCAAGTAGGCTGAAAAGGTTAACAATTTTTAAAGTTTAAAATATTTGTGGAGACAGAAAGATGATAGGACACACTTAAAAAGATGTCTTGACCGTAGTGTCAACTTTTTTTAAGTTTTGTGTTACTTGTACAAGCAGCCCAAGTGTAAAAAGTGGGGGGAGATAGTTGTGCTCATTATGAGTAAAACTTCATCAGGTGGTTTTAGTGGAAGAAGACTGAATAAAGGAATGAAAGATATGAGCATCATAGTGAATGGGAATAGACAACCAAGGAACTGGCTATATAGAAAGGAAATTAAAAGAGGATATGCTTGTTATGTTGTAGCAGCAACATCATGAAATGGAGGTTCTCATAGCATCAAAGATGTGTCTTAAAAAAAAAAGAAAAATATGATAGACAAAGTGTCACAAAAGTCGATGGTGCAGAAAATTGTGTCCTCAAGGGAAATTTTATATTACCCAAAGATAAGTTTTGGTGAAGAAAAAGTATAGCGCATAATCCAGGCAGTAATACCTGGAATGTGCGGTGAAGACCTGGAATTAATTGAAGGCCATGTTTGCACATTAATCAGTGAATTCAGGTGTCATGGCAGGATGTGAGATTGAAAAAAAAGATGAGAAAAACAATGTATTTGAAAGCTAAACCTTAGTAGCTTTGCTAATTCCGAATTAACTCATTTTACACTTATTCTTTAGAGTTCATCCTGGGAAGCTCATTTCTTACAGCTCTCATTTTCTGAGTAGTTCTCCCCAGTTGTACCTAATATTATTTCCTTGATTATTTATAACCCAAGGACCTTTATAACAAAACTGGTGCAGTTTAACTTGTACACATTGGTTTATACCTTTATAACAAAACTGGTGCAGCTTAACTTGTACACATTGGTTTAAATATGTAAGTGTGATATTTGAAGAATAAGATATAAACTTTAAGCCAAGTGATTTAGGAGATTGCTTAGTAACTTGTATCTTGATTGGCATATGAACTTTTAAATGCTTAGTGACTCTCAATTATTGTGAAGAAACATACAGTTGCTCTCATAAACAGAGAAATCCTGCTGCTCATCTATCTGGAAAATTTGAAACATGAAGACAAGTACCTTATCTTGTCTCTACTACTACATATGTTAGATTTTTCTGTCAGGGCTGTTTTTGTCTCCATCGTAGATAAGACTTAGCTTACTCAAGCAGTTGGAGTTACTTCACCTTTATTTTTAGAAGGTTTATTAAGGTATAATGTAAATGCTATAATATAAATTAGCTCCTTTAAAATGTACAAGTTGATGATTTATAGCATATTTATAGAGTTTTGAAAATATCTCCATAGTCTAATGTAGAACATTTAATAAACCCTAAAACAGACTGTGTACCTATTGCAGTTACTCTCCATCCACACTTTTGTCAGCCTTAGGCAACCATTAATCTGCTTTTGGTCTCTATAAATTGCTCCATATGACTATTCCTACAATGGAATCATACAGCCTGTGAACTTTCATGACTGGTTTCTTTCATTCATTGTGTTTTTGAGACTCATCCACCTTGTAGCATGTACCAGCACTTCAGTCTATTTCATTGCTGAATAAAAACAATTCGATTATATGGAGATTCCAATTTTATTAATTCATTTATCAATTTCCAAACATCGGATTGTTTCCACTTTTAGTTATTATAAATAATGCTATTGTGAATATTTGTAATTTGGGGGGACATATATTTTAATTTCTTTCTCATACATAAATAGGAGTTGAATTTGTGAGTTATAGGAAAACAGTATCTTTAACATTCAACAAAGTGCTCTTTCATTTTACTTTTCCACAAGAATGAGCATTTCAATTTCTACACATCTTTGCCTACACTTGTTATTGTCTGTTTTTTCTATTTACATGTTTTAGAAGTGACCATTTTTTAATTTTTATTTTTTTTGGGTCTGGTCATGGGGCCTTCAGCTCAAGGCTAGCTTAAAGAAAAAAGCCAGAAGTGGCTCAAGGCTAGCGCTCTACCACTTCCGGCTTTTTTCTTTTTGCTTATGTGGTGCTGAGGAATTGAACCCAGGGCCTCATGCATGCAAGGCAAATGCTCTACCACTGAGCCACCTTCCCAGCCCCTCAGTAGTGACCATTTTTATGTTCACCTTGTCTGAGTTTCTTGCCTAACATGCTGTAGTATCTTATATATGGATGGCTTATCTCCCCTTTGTACCTTATTTAAGATAAAATGATCAGTGGGGAAATGAGGCAGGATAGATGAGACAGAAAAACTATACTATTTTTAAATATATACCAAAAGGGCTGGACTCAGCAGCTAAAATTTGGAAGTAAATTGAAAAAAGCAAAGCTCCCTTCACTCTATATTTCCTTTAGATGTTAAGTTACAAGACTAGGAAAAATAGGAGGGGCTATTTAAATTTGCCTTCTTTAAAATGAAGGAGGAACCGGGCGCTGGTGGCTTACTCCTGTAATCCTAGCTACTCAGGAGGCTGAGATCTGAGGATCGAGGTTCAAAGCCAGACCCAGCAGGCAAGTCCGTGAGACTCTTACCTCCAATAAACCACCAGAAAACCAGAAGTGGCGCTGTGGCTCAACTGGTAGAGCACTAGCCTTGAGCTGAAGAGCTGTGGACAGCGCCCAGGCCCAGAATTCAAGCCCCACGACTGACAAAAATAAAATAAAATGGGGGAGGGGGAATCCAAATCTCTCCTACCCATTGAAATGGCAAAACCCTGGGGAGAAACAGAAAGAATGAAATGTTTATCAGGCAAAAGGAAGTCCTGAAGAATACCTTCATTTGAGGTAGGCCAAATAACACACCCATTTGCCTATGTAGGACTGTTGTCTAAGGATTTGTTGTTACTATACAGTACTTGGCCCATTCTATTTGCCCAATTCAAAAAGTTTAACAGTTACAGGTAGGAACTGCCGTTTTGAATTTTTTAACTCTCGTTTCTTGCATGGGAAGCAGAAAATGTTTCTTTTTCTTTTCCCCCCCTCTTTTAATCTGGTTATACTAAAATAAATCCTTGTTGACAAAAAAGAAATACAGTAGTAATCTTCCACTAATGAATAATTAGTATTTCTAGGAGTTTGTTTCTTCTTTCTTTCTTTCTTTTTGTCGGTCGTGGGGCTTGAACTCTGGGCCTAAGCACTGTTCCTCAGCTCTGCAGCTCAAGGCTAGTGCTCTACCACTTGAGCTACAGTTCCACTTCTTGTTTTCTGGGTTTATAGGAGCTAAAAGTTTCACGGACTTTCTTGTCCAGGCTGGCTTTGAACCACGACCCTCAGATCTCAGCCTCCTGGGTAGCTAGGATTACAGGCATGAACCACGGGCACCCGGAAAGTTTTTGTTTCTTATGTAAAGAAACTTCCAATTAGGGAAGAACTTATTCTTACTTTAACTTTTGAAAATAGACAATTAGAATTTAATTAGCCTATATTTTTAACACAGTTGACTTCTGTTTTCCCCATTTCTCTTGAATGTGAAGATTCTAAGTTGCTGCACACAACTCAACAGTTCTAGTAAAATCATGGTCTTCGAAAAGTATATTTTGTATACTAAACAAAGAGCCTAGAAGTATAAATTGACTAATACTTAGCACTTTGGCAGTGTTAAAAGAGTTTAAGTATGTCTTAAGAGGCAGTTTTTTGGCACTGACTGTAAAACTAGTTATAATCACCCCCACTCATATTTTCTCTTCCTCCCTCCACTTCCTTCTCTATGATTACTGGTTACTAATTGTCTATAATTTGGGGGCTTTTGTAAAGGTTTTCCTTCTAATATCACTGATCTTAGATCAAGAATAATTGCCTAGTTTCTATGCAACACAAGACAAAAGTAATGCCTATAATAGATTTTTAAAACTTCCTAGTCTTCCACATGTATTGCCAAGAAAAGTGGTTATTAAACTTTTGATTGCTATTTATTAGTAGGTCACCCCATTTGGTGAATTGAAATCACATCTGAAAGTTAAAAATCATAGAATATAATCAGTGATATTGAGTTCCATAATAAAAGACTAAGCATTGTTTACAAAACATTTTTCTATTATATTTCAATGTTGTAAAACAGATGCAACTTAGATTTGTGATAGGTGTGGTAAAAAAATAAGTGCAAAAATAACTGCTCTATTCTAGGAGAACACAGGTAAAAAGTTGCACTTATTGTTCAAGCATCTGTGTCTAAAGAGATTGAATTCTGACTTTGTAACCTGAGTGAATCATCTGAAAAATCATACCTTCAATTGTGAAGACTTTGTAAGTAGCCAAAATATTAATGTGACTTCACAATTACTTTCCATGATTAAAAAGGAAAGGTTATAAGGAAACTCACCTTATTTCTTCCACTTTTCTAAGCTAAGATTTGCTGAGCAATCTACAACCAAGTCTTAACTCAAACAATTCTACATTTATTTTTGTACCACGTACTTACAAGGAATATATCCTAGTACATATTTTAAGTGGGTATCCAATAGTAATGAAATTTTACATGCTAAAAATGAAGAGGATTTTAAAGACATATTTGTGAATTGCATTCACTACTAAAGAAAAATAATTAAAAAAGAGTTAAATGAAGAAGTGAATGAAACAATTCTGAAGTGATGTAGTTAACATTTCTGGAGAGAACGATACAGAAAAAAGTGTCTTTGTCTTAATAGAGTAAATTATTTACAAAGTAAGACCTCGTGCGAATGAGAATAAATTACCATCTCATTATACTCATAACGAAAGCCAAACATGGCCATAAAAGTAACGATAGGGAGCACAAGAACATCAGCAAAATGTAAATTACATGCAGATTAGGAGAAATAAACAGTTGTTTTTCAAGGCCTAATTCACTTTACTCAATATTGACTCCGAAACTATTGCGGAAGCTAGGCATACCCTCTAGTTCATTCCCAGAGACCTGGGGGGATAGGTTTGGAAACACTGGCTTCAGGAATTTGAACTCATTGGTGCCAGCACCTCCCTGCAGACACACCTCATACTGGTAGCTGTGGGCCAAGGTCCCCGTGCCACTCACGTCCAGCAGGTGTCCAGGCAAGGGGCCATCGGGCAGCGCGCAGCCGGCCAGCGAGCGCGCCCTGCTCCTCCTGCACAGCCTGAAGGCCACGAAGAGCAGCAGAGACAAGAGGAAGAGAGAAGACACGGCCGCCAGCGCGATGACCAAGTAGGCAGTGAGGCGGTCGGGCTGCGCGCGCTCGGGCGCCGCCGCGTCGGGCAGCGGCAGGTAGGGCTGCGAGAAGCCATCCACCAGCAGCACGTGCAGCGTGACGCTGGCCGAGCGCGGCGGCTCGCCATTGTCCTTGACCAGCAGCAGCAGCCTGTGCTTGGGCGCGTCGCGCTCGCTCAGCAGCCTGGCGGTGCGCACCTCGCCATTGTGCGGCCACACGCTGAACAGCCCGGGCTCCGTGGCCTTGAGCAGCTGGAACGACAGCCAGGCGTTCTGGCCCGAGTCGCGGTCCACCGCCACCACCTTGCTCACCAGGTAGCCCGGCTCGGCCGCCCTGGGCAGCAGCTCGGTGCAGGGCGCAGACGCGTTCTGCAGCGGGTACAGCACGAAGGGCGAGTTGTCGTTGGCGTCCAGCACCTGCACGCGCACCAGCGCCTGGCTGCTGAGCGGGGGCGAGCCGCGGTCGGCGGCGCGCACGCGCACCTCGAACGCCTGCAGGGCCTCATAGTCCAGCGCCCTCAGGGCGAACAGCTGCCCGCTGTCCGCGTTGATGGACACCAGCGCCGCCGCCGCGTCGGGGCCGGGCTGCGGGCCGGGCAGCAGCGAGTAGGTCAGCTGGGCGTTGCTGCCCGAGTCTCTGTCTGTGGCGCTGATGGTGCCAATGTGCAGGGCGGGGCTGTTGTTCTCGCGGACCCACAGGGTGTAGGAGGACTGCGTGAATTCGGGGGCGTTGTCGTTCATGTCGGACACCTGCAGGGTGATGGTGTGCTGGGTTTGCAGCCTGGGAGTCCCCAAGTCAGAGACAGTGATGGTGATGTTGTATTCATCTCTTTCCTCTCTGTCTAGTGCTTTGTCGGTAATTAAAGTGTAGAAATTTTTGAAGCTGGGTTTCAGAATAAAGGGGAGCTCCTCTTGAATACAACAAACTGTTCTTCCATTGTCTCCTGCATCTTGGTCTCTGACACTAAACACAGCTACAAGAGTGTCTGGAGTATTCTCTGGAATACTATCAGTAACTGAAGACATCTTTATTTCTGGTGGATTGTCATTAACATCTAATACTTTAATTCCAAGAGTGCATTCTTCTGAAAGACCTCCACCATCTGTTGCCTGAATAGTTATACTATAGGACTGTATCGCTTCAAAATCCAGCGCTGATTTCAAGTGAACTTCCCCAGATAATGCGTTCATGTCAAACGTTTTGCGAATATCTTCAGATGCATGGAAAAACGTGTAGGATATTTTCCCATGGTTTCCTGCATCCAGATCCTTAGCAGACATGGTGATTATCCAGGACCCAATGGGTGTGTCCTCTGGGACCTGCACCTCATAGAGACTCTGAGCAAACTTAGGTGCATTATCATTGATGTCCAAAACCTTAATGAGAACCAAAGTTGTCCCAGACCTGGGTGGAGATCCACCATCCAGTGCTGTGAGTGTTAATCTGTGCTCAGATTCCTTCTCATGATCTAATGCTCTATCCAGAACCAGCTCTGGGTAAATCTTCCCATCAACACTGTTGCCAATTTTAATGTGGAAATGGGAATTGGGGCTAATTGTGTAGTTCTGAAGACTGTTCCTTCCTATGTCCACATCTTGAGCACTTTCCAATAGAAAGGTGGTTCCAATGGGAGCACTTTCTGATATTCTCAAAATTATTTCCTTGTCTAAGAATGTGGGAGAGTTATCATTTATATCTCTGACATGCAGTTCAGCCCGAAAAAACTGTAAAGGTTGTTTCAGCATCACCTGGAAATTCAGTATGCAGGGTTCTGCAGAGCCACACAGCTCTTCTCTGTCCAGTTTCTCATTTAGAAGCAAATCTCCTGTCTGCAAATCAAGGCGCAAATGCTTTTCATTGTCCTCAGATACCACCCTGGCCTCCCGGAAGGACAGCTCCTCCACCCCTAGCCCCAAGTCCTTCAGAAGATTAACCACAAAAGAGCCAATTTCTGTTTCCTCTGGCATAGAATAGCGAACTGATTCAGTACTAGCATGAGATAATTCTAGCACAACAAAGAAAATCAGCACTTGCCTGTTTTGCAGAGTCAGTGCCTCTCTGATTCCCATGGTTCTTTCAGGTCACTTCTTTTGTGGAAAAATTTGAATTTAGCCTTAATTTTATAGAATAGAAAGTCTTGGAAGAAGCTGTGTAGGTGAAGCTGTTTTCTCAATGAGTTGGATGTTCTTTGTTCTATGTAATGAAGCCTGTTGTGCTGATATGGGTGGCCTTCATCTTATCCTGTAGCGCCACCATGTGTCTCTATAATTTTTTCCATACATTTTCCTCTTTAAATAAATCTTCAGCACTCTGAGTATTCGCAAGGAAATATCAGATTCATACATGCACTTACACACACACTTTTCTCTAATAAATAAGGCCTTTTAATATGTAACTGCAGTACTACTGTCACAGCAACAATATCCCAGGAATTCCTAATTATATAATTAGTCTGTGTTTGTTTTGCCCACACTTATCTAAAATGCTTATTTTTAATTACTTTAATCAAAATGTAAACAATGGGCATACTATTTTTATATTATTCATGCTTTAAAACCTTGACGCAGTGCATCCACTGTTTTAATTGAAGAAATAATATTGTATAGAACTTATTCCTCTAGTATTAAAAGATACCTTCTCCATTACTATAGCTATGCTGAATTTGTTTTATAAAATCATAACTTTTTCATATGTATATATGAGAACAGAAAAGGCATAATTTACAACCTTCCTAGGGCATGGGATTATTAGTTCCAAGGCCATGGGATTATTAGTTGTTTCCCTTTCATATATGTGTAAAGCTGAGCACTGGTGACTCATGCCTATAATCCTAGCTACTTCGGAGGCTGAGTTCTGAGGAAACCAGTCCAGGCAGGAATGTTTGTGAGACACTAACTTCCAATTCCCCCACCAAAACGTTGGAAGTAGAGCTGTGGTTTAAGTGGAACCTTGAGCATAAAAGCTTAAGAACAGCACCCAGACCTCACGTTCAAGTTCCAGAACCAGTACAAAAAATATACATGTAAGAAGATGATACCATCTTCTTACATAAGATAATCTTTGTATATATGGATCTTCCAGGCTTGAAAAAATTGGCAGACCAATAATTAAAATGTTATTTTGATGTATAGATGAGAAGAATAAAATATTTGCAGAAGGAGTATGTACCTATGCCACAGGAAGCTTTATAATACAATGGTAGAAAGTAGTTAGAATATAGAATCACACTGGAATTGTAGTTCTGCCTCTCATGATTTACAGACTTTCTGAAATTATTTAGAGTACTAATAGTATTTACCTGAGAGGGTTATTCTCATAGGAACCTAATGAGTTAATGTTTACAGAATGGTCAGGAAGTGTTGGTGGAATGTCTGTTTAAAGCAAAATAATTAAATCACAGGCATGGTAGGGTGAGTGCATAGAATATTCATTAAGGTCCTAGGCCCAATTTCTAGCCTCAAAGTAATAAAATAAAACAATTTCTTACCCTGACTACCACATTTGCATAGGATATGTAGGTTTATCCCTCAGTATTCCCTAAACAATATAGTATGCTAATGCTTTATATGCCATTTATGTTGTATTTACATATAAACAATTTAGAAAACATTTAAATTATATGATCAGATGTGCAACACTGCTCTGTTTTAACACCTGTGAACTTTGGTATTATAAAAACCATAATTTAAAATCTTGAACTAAAAAATAAGTAGCGTATCAAGAAAATAAGGGCAGCAACAACAGCTAAAGTTTCAGAAAAATCAAGAAAAAATATTAAAATTAGTTGTTGGATTTAAGAAGATAAGTGTGAAAGAACTTGATGTTTGCTGTACTCATTTTCTATAATAATAAAACTATACTATGTATGTGGATACTAAGATGATTGCCTGTCCAGCCTCTTTTGTAGTGACCAAGTAAATTAAATGCTTGCTGATGAACTGTTAGCAGGATTTTTGTTTACCAATATGATTAGGAAGAAAAAGAGATCTGGGGGCTGGGAAGGTGGCTCAGTGTTAGAGCGCTTGCCTTGCATGCTTGAGGCCCTGGGTTCGATTCCCAAGCACCACATAAGTAAAAAGAAAAAAGCTGGAAGTGGCGCTGTGGCTCAGGTGGTAGAGCACTAGCCTTGAGCTGAAGAGCTAAGGGACAGCGCCCAGGCCCAGAGTTCAGGCCCACTACTGGACCCAAAAAAAAGAAAAAAGAAAAAGAGATCCAGATCTGCCTTTTCTCTCTGGGCCAAGGAGGACCTAAACATGGTAGTGACCACTTACAGGCATGCAAATTTTGAAAATATCATAGGGAATATTAAACCATTTTGAAGAAAATTTGCTTCTAGAAGATGATAAGAAGCCATCTTCCTGTATGTAGTCACTTGCACTATCACATGAGAGTATTTTTGTACTTGAATCTCTTTATTTCAGAAATAAAGCATCAATATAATTTGTAGTCCTTTATTACAAAATTGGCTAATGTAACTTGATTTGTATTCACCGGTTTAAAGTTAGCTTTATATAGGACATTTGAAGAGTAAGAGTCTGGCTTCTTTTAGCAAAGTCATTTAAGACTTGGTTAGTTACTTGAGTCTAGGCATATGAGCTCCTCAGGTATTGGTCAATCTCCATTAGAGTGAGGAAACATAGTTGCTTCCATATATAAAGAAATCTTGCTACTCATCTACTTGGAAAAATATTTGAAAAATTAATACAAGTACCTAGTATTTATCTCTTCTGTTGGCATCTGTTTGATTTTTCTGTTCATCCCCAACATTATAGATAAGTGAAAACCCAGTTTACTTGGAACCACAGGCTGCTAGAGCCACTCCACTTTTTTGTTTAACAGCTTTGTGGAAATAATGAATACCGTAATATGTAAATTCACCAATTTAGAGTGCACAGTTCAGTGAATTTTAGTTTATTTAGCATTGTGCAATTAAAACCAGTTTCTACTTTAGAATGTTTTCACCATCCACCAAATAAACCAAATAAACTTTCCCTAGCTTTCACAACTACTTAGTCTGCACTTCTGTCTTATAGATTGGCCTATTTTGACTTTTTTGCATAAATGGAATCATACAGCCTATGATCTTTCATGACTGATTTCTTTTTTTTAATTTAATTTAATTTTATTTACATGACTGATTTCTTTTATTAAGTTAATATTTTTGAGGCTCATCCATGTTGTGGCATGTACCCACGTACCAGTCATTTTCCAATGTATGAAGAAAGCACATTTTATTTATATATTCATTGATTCCTGAATATTTAGGTTCTATTATAAATAATGTTATGAACACTTGCATGTATTTTGTAGATACATTTTTCTTTTAGAGTTTATGAATTTCTGAGTCATTTTGGAGAGTTGCTAAATCTTTTTCCAACATGCTTTACATTCCTAGCAGCACTAAATTTCCAATTTTTAAACTTTTTGTTAACATTTATGGTGTCTTCCTCATCTTTTTAATTAAGTTTTTCCAGTGTGTAAAAAGTGACCATTTTTCGTGTTCACCTTCAGTAGTTTAAGTATCTTATCTAACATGGGGGGCTGGTCCTGGGGCTTGAACTCTGGGCCTCTGCACTCTCACTCAGCTTCTTTTACTGAAGGCTAGTGCTCTATCACTTGAGCCACAGTGCCACTTCCAGGGGTTTTTTTGTGTAGTTTATTAGAGATAAGAGCCTCATGGATTTTCTTGCCTTGGCTGGCTTTGAACTATGATTCTCAGATCTCAGCCTCATGAGTCGATAGGATTACAGGAGTGAGCCACCAATGCCTGACTTATATATGTCTTTTAAGCTAGTGCTCATCTTTTCCCTACTAAATGCAATAAAGACAGATAGTAATTTTACCACTTAACTTGATTTATTAATATATGAGTAGTTTTTGTTCTCTATGTATAGAATCAATTAGAGGATAACATAGTTCTCAAAAGAGAAAGAATGTAATTAGCCTGCAGAATAGTTGCCTTCTATTTTCCCCATCTCTCTTAAATATAAAGATTCTACATTGTCTACCCAATCCAACAGATTCTAGCTTTGAAAAGTGCAAATACTGGATATCTCAAATATTCAAGTATGAGAGACAGTTCATTCTGGAATTACCAGTTGACTAATACAAATCACTTCTTATGTACATCTTCAAGAGACACTTTTGGCATTGACTTTGGTTTGTAGGATTAGATGTAATCATATTACACCTTCACTTATTTCCTTTCCCATGTTTCCTCCTTCCTTGTCCCTCTCCCTCCCACTGCTCTCTATCACACACACACCACTCTCTATCACACACACTATGATTGATCACCTTTCATCTATATTTTCCTTCCACGATGAACAGACTTCAGAGTTTGTGTGACATTCATGAGAAACTTCCTCTATCATGGAGAAATTTTTTTTCCTAGTCAGGTAGTCACTAGAGCCAAACTAAGATAGAACTTCCTATTACAATTATTTCAATTTTAAAAATGTAAGAATCTAAACTGTGCATATCTCTGGAACTATCACAAATGAAATACTTTGCTACTATTAAGTTATGCTAATAAAAATAGTAAAACAAGTAGAACTTGCAGAAGGACCTTTTGAAACTTCTTAGTGCTATGTATGACACTTTTATAATCTCCAAAAATGGTTATCAAGTTTTTCATTGATACCCAGTACTAGGTTTTAAGATCAATTTGGTGGATTACGAGCATATCAGAAAATTTAGATGAATACAAGCAATTCTAAATTTTATCACAAGGCTAAATAAGCATGGTTAACATTTATTAAATTAGTGCACAATTATTGGAGAATACAGACAAAAACTGTATACTTTAGTACACAAACATACTTCACCTACACAAGTTATTGAAGTGTCTTTGTTTGCCTAGATGTGACATCTGGAAAATTATACCTTCACATTCTATGGTCAAAATACTAATGGGCCTTCACAATCACTTTCCAATATAAATGAGGAAATGCTAGTAAGAAACTTGCCTTCCCCTTTTCTTTCTGTACTGGGATCTACCCAGTGACCTACCAGGAATCTTTCTTGAGCAAAATCCCAAATCCTTTTTCCAGGTTTTTTTTGTTTTGTTTTCTGTCTTAGCACATGTTAATGTTCAATAATACTTATTAGTAAAAACATTCAATACAAATAAATATCTATCAATAGTGTCATTAATATATTCAGTAATAACCAGCATTTCCAAATGTTAGCTAAAGATGGAGAACATTAAGAATATAATTGTGTGTTGAACCATTATAAATGAAATAAGAAAAGGTTTACACAAAAAAATCAGACAAATGCTTGAACATTTAAATTACTGCTAAAGTGATTTATTTCATCATAAGCCTATGCATGGGAAAGTTTAACAAAAGAGAGAAACAAGGACAAAAAATGTGTACTATTTGAGGAGGCAAATTATATACAAATTAAGACCTCCTGGGTTTCAGAATAAACTACCATTGCATTACACCCAAATTAAAAGTAAGTATTGGCATAAGAGCACAAGTGGGGAGCATAATAACCTCTACAAGAATATCAGTACATGCAAATTGGAAAAAATAAACATTTATTTGCAATAGCCATAAAATAGATGTGGAAAATGAAATAATTCACTTTACTGAATATTGACTCCCAAACTATTGCGGAAGCTAGGCATATCCTCTAGCTCATTCCCAGAGACCTGGGGGGATAGGTTTGGAAACACTGGCTTCAGGAATTTGAACTCATTGGTGCCAGCACCTCCCTGCAGACACACCTCATACTGGTAGCTGTGGGCCAGGGTCCCCGTGCCACTCACGTCCAGCAGGTGTCCAGGCAAGGGACCATCGGGCAGCGCGCAGCCGGCCAGCGAGCGCGCCCTGCTCCTCCTGCACAGCCTGAAGGCCACGAAGAGCAGCAGAGACAAGAGGAAGAGAGAAGACACGGCCGCCAGCGCGATGACCAAGTAGGCAGTGAGGCGGTCGGGCTGCGCGCGCTCGGGCGCCGCCGCGTCGGGCAGCGGCAGGTAGGGCTGCGAGAAGCCATCCACCAGCAGCACGTGCAGCGTGACGCTGGCCGAGCGCGGCGGCTCGCCATTGTCCTTGACCAGCAGCAGCAGCCTGTGCTTGGGCGCGTCGCGCTCGCTCAGCAGCCTGGCGGTGCGCACCTCGCCATTGTGCGGCCACACGCTGAACAGCCCGGGCTCCGTGGCCTTGAGCAGCTGGAACGACAGCCAGGCGTTCTGGCCCGAGTCGCAGTCCACCGCCACCACCTTGCTCACCAGGTAGCCCGGCTCGGCCGCCCTGGGCAGCAGCTCGGTGCAGGGCGCAGACGCGTTCTGCAGCGGGTACAGCACGAAGGGCGAGTTGTCGTTGGCGTCCAGCACCTGCACGCGCACCAGCGCCTGGCTGCTGAGCGGGGGCGAGCCGCGGTCGGCGGCGCGCACGCGCACCTCGAACGCCTGCAGGGCCTCATAGTCCAGCGCCCTCAGGGCGAACAGCTGCCCGCTGTCCGCGTTGATGGACACCAGCGCCGCCGCCGCGTCGGGGCCGGGCTGCGGGCCGGGCAGCAGCGAGTAGGTCAGCTGGGCGTTGCTGCCCGAGTCTCTGTCTGTGGCGCTGATGGTGCCAATGTGCAGGGCGGGGCTGTTGTTCTCGCGGACCCACAGGGTGTAGGAGGACTGCGTGAATTCGGGGGCGTTGTCGTTCACGTCGGACACCTGCAGGGTGAAGGTGTGCTGGGTTTGCAGCCTGGGAGTCCCCAAGTCAGAGACAGTGATGGTGATGTTGTATTCAGCTTTGCTTTCTCTGTCAAGTGGTTTCTCTGTTTCTAAAGTGTAGTAATTGTCAACTGAATATTTCAGTCGGAATGGAATGTCTTCTTCTATAGAGCAAACCATCTTTCCATTGACTCCTGAGTCTCTGTCCCATATACTAAAAACCATTATTACAGTCTCAGGCGAATTTTCTGGAATTGGGCTGGTAATTGATGACACAGCAATTTCAGGATAATTGTCATTCACATCCATCACCTCAATTCTGACAGTAGATTTTCCAAAAAGTCCTCCACCATCTGTGGCTTGAATGATTATCGAGTAGGATTGTATTGTTTCAAAGTCCAGATTTGTTCTTAAACTAACTTCTCCAGACTTCTGATTAATTTCAAATGTGTTTTGAATATCTTCGGAGGCATGGGAAAACATGTATGATATTTCACCATTTATTCCTGAGTCTAAATCCCAAGCTGATACAGTGACTACATGTGAGCCAACGATGCTGTCTTCTGAAATCTTCACTTCATAAAATGCATGCTCAAATTCAGGTGAGTTGTCATTTACATCCACCACCATGACTTGAACTAAGGCAGTACCAGATCTGGGTGGGGACCCACCATCCAAAGCAGTAAGAATGAAGCTGAGCTCTGGCTGCTCTTCATAATCCAGTGCCTTGTCCATAACTAACTCTGGGTATTTCCTGTTGTCTGGATTGACTCTCATATTAACATGGAAATGAGAGTTTGGGCTTATTTTGTAGCTTTTTACAGCATTGATTCCCACATCTAAATCCTTTGCACTTTCTAGCAAGAACACAGAACCGACAGGACTATTCTCTGGGATTTTTAGGATCATTTCTTTTTCCAAGAAAATGGGAGAGTGGTCATTTATATCTGTCACCTGAAGCTCAATCGGTAAAAACTGCAAGGGGTTTTTCATTAATACCTGGAAATGTAGCACACAGGGCTCAGTGGAGCCACAAAGCTCCTCTCTGTCTAGCATCTCGCTTAAGAGCAAATCCCCAGTATTTAGGTTCAGCTGCAAAGGTGGTCTGTTTGCATTAGAGACCACCCGAGCCTCCCTTGATGAAAGCTTATTCATTTCCAGTCCCAAGTCGTTTACCAAATTACCCACAAAGGCTCCACTCTCAGTTTCCTCCATCACTGAAAAGCTCCTAGACTCAGCGTGAGACATTCCAAATAAAACAAAGAAAAGCAGGACTTGCCTTGTCTGCAGATTGCCTTCCCTTCCGTTCTGCATAACTTCTTTCCAGAAGGCTTTTTAAGAATCACTTCAGAGCTACTTTGCCGTTCTAAGGAACGTGTCCCTTAATCAGCACTCCAAACTTCAGAATCCAAAGTATTTCAGCTCCACTGGAATGGCTTCTAGGTCGCACCTTAATTGCTTGTTCTTTCTCTCTGGTCAATTCTGTGTGCACCCTTGGATAAGGGTCCACCACATGATGTAGTGTAATTTTTTTCCCCCTGTGATGTTATCCTGCAGCGCCACCATGTGTCTTCACAAAATTTTACAGTCTGATGAAAGCTATTTAAGTTCCATTCACATTGAGGTTCCCAGAAACAAGTATTTCCTCATTCTTTCAGCAATTAGCAATATACTTGGTATCTTATACCAATTATTTTATATTTCTGATGGTTAGTGGTGATATTAGTATTATTTTAATTCAATTAGTAGGTATTCTTTCTCCTGACACAACTAGATAATCTCAATTGTCAGAATACAGACGTACAAGATCTGATTCCTGGTCATCAGGAGTATGTAATTTTTTGGCAAAGATTGTAACTCTTAAATAAGGATAGTGTAACAGATTGTGAAATTTAACATAATCTCTACTTGGTCTTTCTTATATGGTAAGAGAATGTGGAAGCGTCCATTGGCCAAGAAGTTTTCTCAAGGGCTATGAAACTAGCAGATAGTTGTAACACACAAAGGAATTTTTGTAGGTTTCTTTAGTATTAAACTATCATTTTGTAAAAAGTGAAGTAAGATACTGGGGGGTGTACACATTATGTAAATCTGTAATTTGTTTTCAGCTTCTAACAAATTACAAAAAAACATGCAACATTAATAAATGCAAACATAGGGGCTGGGAAGGTGGCTCAGTGGTAGAGTGCTTGCCTTGCATGCATGAGGCTCTGGGTTCGATTCCTCAGCACCACATAAGCAAAAAAGAAAAAAAGCCAGAAGTGGTATTGTGGCTCAAGTGGTAGAGTGCTAGCCTTGAGCTGAAGAGCTGAGGGACAGCACCCAGGCCCAGAGTTCAGGCCCCATGACCTGACCCCCCCAAAATAAAAATAAAATAAAAATAAATGCAAACATGTTAGTTTCATTGAAAGAAGAGCTGGTGTTCCCCTTAGTCCCAAGATTTTCCTAAGGACAACTATGATTACCTTCTTTTACAGTCCAGGGAGCCAAAAATGATATATTTTCCCCCAAATAGAACAAAAACACAACAATTACTCTGCTGAGACCACTACAGCTTATGTTCCTGCTACTGATGTCATTAATGTTACAAAGGGTGAAGTTTCTAGACCTAGAATCTGGAGATATATCTTTGCCCCTTACTTTGATTAACCCTGTTTGAGACTGTTTCTTAGCTTGGAGTGACTTCAATCCTAGTCAAAGTACATGATTACTATAGGATGAAGAAATGAGATGAGCAGTGTAGATGCTACGTGCCCATAAATTGATGTCCAATAAAGAAGGCCCAACATACACTGATGAAAGAAGAATTAAAAAGTTGGCATGAAAATGCTAACTTCACATTACATTCTTAAAAATGTAAGCTGTATATACAGCTGATCCAGGAGAAAAGGGTAGAAATTGAAAAGTAGGTGGAGTGACTATGCATCATTCTTCTCCTTCTTTTAAGATATTCTCTAAGCTAACAAAATTAATAAAAATTTGAACTCACAGAGACAAAGTGGATAAGCAAATACCTGCTTTGATGACAGAAAGCAAATGGAAAAGCCACTGACATAGCAACTCCAGGAAATGGTTAAAGATCCTGCTCTAAAGATACAAAAATTAGAGTTGCATTAAGTTCAAGACTTAGAGGAACCAAGTGCATAAGTAGACTGGAGTTAAGAACAGAAAAGAAGTTGTTAGTTGAAAGCATTTATGCAAGAGAGTTGAATTCTTTGTTGCTTACCATTCTACAGAGTCAGAAAAGTAGCTCATTGTCAGGATAGTTAATCCAAGGGAAATTAAATGAGGCTTTCTTTAGTCTTGAATTCCAAGACCAATGCAAGTATGAGGTATAACAGTAAACTAAGCAAAGTAAGAAAGCTATGAGTTTTGAATTGTGAGATTTCTAGTTCCTATCCAAGTAATATTTTAGACTTTAAGACAGGTCCACCCTCACTCAGTGGATATTTCAGAATTCTAATATGAAGAGTATGATAGGTCCAAATAAAAGAACTACACATACTAATAGTTGTGGTTTTCCAAAGGTTGCAGCCATGTCTTAGCATAATTACATTAGAGAAGAGCCCTTTAGTAACTAAGACTTGATTATTAGCATTTAATATGTCATCTTTAAATAAAAGAACATATGTAAGGACTATCAGAAATTTGAGGAAATTTCTTTAACATAAAATAGACCAAGACAAAAAGAAACTCATATAATTGGATGAAAGGAAATGTGTTTGAAATGTCTTAATATCCAGAGAAATTAAATTTAGTAAGAACATTTGCTTAGCATTTGTTTACATCCTTTGTTATTCTAAGTGTTTTATACATAGTAACCTTTTTAGTATTCACAAAAATCATATGAAAGATGTGTTCTTAATTGTATAACATATAATAGATTAGGAGTTAATTGTCCCTTTCTAGCTGTATAACTTTTACCAAGTTCTTAACTTTCTTGATTCATCCTTATTTTTAAAATGGATATATAACACTATTCATACTACACTTTTATAATATATTCTAAGATAATAACTAGATGAATTCTATTGGAGAAAAGATATTACACTCATAAATATGTAACAGAATAGTATGAAGAACATTCAGAGAAACAGAAAAAAATTTTTTGTTGGTCATGGGGCTTGAATTATGGGCTTGGGTGCTGTCCCTGCACTCTTTAGCTCAAGGTGAGTGTTCTACCGCTCAAGCCACAGTGCTACTTCTGGTTTTCTAGTGGTTTATTGGAGATAAGAGTCTCACTGACTTTCCTGCTCAGGCTGGCTTTGAACTGTGATCCTCAGATCTCAGCCTCCTGAGCAGCTAGGATTACAGGCATGAGCTACCAGTGCCTGGTAGAATAAGTCTTCTAAATGCAACCAACAAGTAGAATAGTACTGAAATCTAAGGGATATTATTTGCAGCCTAGAATTTTATACCCTTTAAAACTATCAATCAAATGAAAATAAAAGTATTACTTCACAATGTAAGGTCCCAAAATTTTTACCTCATCTGCCTCAGTTTTTATGATGGTATTGAAAGATATGTGTTGGCCAAAAAAGGGAGCAAACTAAGAAAATATTGCATTTGTTATTATAAAAGGAGAAGTAACATAGAAAAAATATTTAAAACTAAAAGATCTAGAATGAGAGCAATAGACCAAGAAAGCAGTCTAAATGAAGAAGAAATTTGAATGAAAGCCCTCAGGAAATACATGTTGTTAATTAGTATCAGATGCATTGTAATATTTTAAGTATAAAGGCTAATATTCAATGTGAATTTAAAAAATAATTAACAATTAAAATAATTAACAAAGGCTGAGGGTTTAGCTTACCTGCCTAGCATGAAAATGACAGGACTGGCAAAAGAAAAAGAAAGCAATCAGAAAGAACCCTAAAAGTTAGGAGAAAATCATCTACATGCAAAATGTGAACATTAACTGTTCATTGTTCATGTGTGTATTTAGTAACTGAGAAACAAGAAAGGTAAATCCTTTTTTTATACAAAAACGTGGCTAAGATATAAAACTGAATGTGAAGATAAAGCACTACAGCTGAGTGCAATAGTTTACACCCATAATTCTAACTACACTATGGACAGATTTCATGGATTGAAATCCAAGACAGACTAGAAAAAATGTTCTCAAAACCCTAACTCAATGGCTTTGTGAAGTGGTGTGAGTCTACTATTCCAACAAATGGCAGGAAACCTGAAATAGAATATGACAGCCCAGTCTGGCCTCAAGATACAGACAGACCTTCTCTTAAAAACAAGCAGAGCAGCCGGGCGCTGGTGGCTCACGCCTGTAATCCTAGCTACTCAGGAGGCTGAGATCTGAGGATCGCGGTTCAAAGCCAGCCCGGGCAGGAGAGACCGTGAGACTCCTATCTCCAATAAACCACCAGAAAACCGGAAGTGGCGCTGTAGCTCAAGTGGTAGAGCGCTCGCCTTGAGCTGAAGAGCTGAGGGACAGCTCCCAGGCCCAGAGTTCAAGCCCCACGACCGACAAAAAAAAAAAAAAAAAACAAGCAGAGCAAAAACGTTGGAAATGCAGTGGAAACCATCCCAAGAGTGCAAATCCCAGTGCCACCAAAAAAAAAAAACTGATGAAGAAATATAGACTTGCCATCTAGAAACACTGACATTAATTTCTTAGAAGAAGCCACTCTGTTAAAGGAATACTTTAGATAAAATTGTTATTCCTCATATTTTTTACTTTTTGTTTCAAGTTTGGCAGTAATCAAATTTACAATTATAAAATAAAAATATTTCCAACAGTCCACCAATATTCACACTGAGAAATTTTGAAAATGTTCTAAAACATACAGCTTATTACATCTTATTAGAATTATAAGAAAAGGTTGTTTCATATATCAGCAAGAGTGAACAAAAGAAAATATTAGGAACTAATGAGCCAAAGAAACAAAAGGCTCTGGGTTAATCCTCAACCTCAGCAGCCACAACAAAAACACCACCAATCACAGAAAAACCTCAGCTCTCTAGATGGAGAATAGCAATAAATCAATGTTCACTTTGAAATGACAAATATTAAAAGTATTATTTATAAATGCTTATAGATGTAATTCAACAGTTCATGCAAAAATATTGAAAAAGTAACAAGACAAAAGGTAGACTACATGACAATTGAAAGTAAAATTAGTTGTGGTGCATAACAGCATAAAACTAATAATATAGTCCGGTAACAATTCAGAAACAACAAATATAAAGAGAACTTGGATGAAAATTGAATATAACACTACTTCAAAAGGTGGGGTTTTCATTATTATTACAAGGAGCATAAATATTAGGGTAAATCGGTTTCAAGAACTTGAAATCGCTACTCCCAGTAGAACCTCCCTGCAGACACACCTCATACTGGTAGCTGTGGGCCAGGGTCCCCGTGCCACTCACGTCCAGCAGGTGTCCAGGCAAGGGGCCATCGGGCAGCGCGCAGCCGGCCAGCGAGCGCGCCCTGCTCC